TGATGGGGTCGGAGCAGATGGGGTCGGAGGATCCCTCCGCATCGCCGACGCATCAGCGGTGCGGCTCGATGCGGAGCCCGATGTGCTCCACGCCGAGGGTGCCAGTGCATCGCTGACGTCGCCGGGGCATCGCCGACGGCGTCGCTGATGCACTGGCTGTGCGTGCGCGATGCTCCGACCCCCATCCACCCAGAGCCCACCTGGGAGGCCTCTGGCTCTGGGGGAGGGGTCCGGGGAGGACGAGGCGGCCGAAGGTCGCCTGTGTACACGAGGAGCTCGATGCGGCGTGCTGAACTGGGACCCTCGTCCTATCGGTTGGGGCGGCATCCGCTCTCTGCTGGCTCCAGCACGCTCGGCCCCAGGTTCGAGCCCGCAGGGGGGGGCCCACGTCGTGCGTGGCCGCAGGGAGCCGCTCGGAGCCCGCAGCGCCGCACTTCTGTGCATGTGTGTGTGTGTGTGGGTGGGCGACGCCCGCTGAGGAGGAGGAGGAGGAGGAGGAGGAGGAGGCGGAGGAGGAGGCGGAGGATGATCAGGAGGAGGAGGAGGAGGAGGAGGAGGAGGAGCAGGAGGAGGAGGAGGAGGAGGAGGAGGCGGAGGATGATCAGGAGGAGGAGGAGGAGGACTTCTGTGCATGTGTGTGTGTGGGTGGGCGACGCCCCGCTCCGTGCCGCGCAGGCCCGGCGTGGCTTACCCGCTCTCCGAGGGCATGCGGGTGAAGATCGGGCCTCTGGTGGTGGAGGTCGGCGGGCTCGGGGAGCTCTCCAGAAGTCAGGAGGGAAAAAACACACAGACACAATGAAAATCGCCGATTCCCCAGAAAACATGGGACAATATGGGAAGTGTGGGCGGGGGGGAAGACAACAACTACTTAGAAAATATAAGAGAAAATATGGGGAATCGGGTTCTTTTTGTGTATTTATTCGTGTGTCCCAGGGCCCCTTCGAGAGGGTCGTTCGGAAGCTCTTTCCGGGTCCGTCGGAAGCTCTTTTCTGGAGCTGCCAGGCTGCTTCCACAAAGGCCTTCGCACGCCCCTCTGGCGCGCGGAGCGCGCCAGGGGCGGCGCCGGAGGCGCCGCCGGGGGGCCCCAGCGCCGATCCGAGAAATCCGCGCGGACCTCCGAGTTTTTCTGTTTATGTCACTTTTCGTTCCCCCAGTTCTCCAGAAGGTCGTTCGGAAGCTCTTTCCGGGTCCCTCGGAGACTCTGTTCTGGAGCTGCCAGGCTGCTTCCACAAAGGCCTTCGCACGCCCCTCTGGCGCCCTGCTGTCCGGGGGCCCCTTCAAGAGGGTCGTTCGGAAGCTCTTTCCGGGTCCCTCGGAGACTCTTTTCTGGAGCTGCCAGGCTGCTTCCACAGAGGCCTTCGCACGCCCCTCTGGTGCCCTGCTGTCCGGGCCCTGGAAACCCCACGAGTCGGGCCTCCGGTGGCGGAGGTCGCCGGGCTCCGTGGCCCTGCAGGGCGCACGTCGGCTCCTCCGGCTCCGGCTCGGTTCGCATGCGAATCCGACGCCGAGTCCGAACTTCGGCTCGGCGTCGGAGCTTCCGATTTGGATTGCGGCGTCTCGACAGGAGCCTTATAGAGGGCTGCCGATTGCCGCCGAGTCGACTTCTCTCCCCACTTGGCGGCCGATTTCCGCCGGTCCGATTCGTGCTGATCGCCGATCCGGCGGATCGATTCGATTCTGGGCGCTCCTGCCAGTGCGGAGCTTGGCCATAGGAGGGAGGTCGATACAGTCAAGAGGTTGACATAATGAATTGCCTGGATCTCGAAGATGGTCGCTGGTCCTTCGGTCCTTCCGTGGTTGTTCCTCTGTCACCCCTCGTGCGCCCAAGCTGTTTCGGGGCCAAAAGAGTCATCGCTGCGTCTTTGGAGTTCCTTCCCGACTTGCCTGCCTTTGTGGCGTTGCGTTGCCCAACTCACCACCCACCAAACCACCCCAACCCAACCCGAAGGCCTCAATTCGCCGTCCACTTCCAGTGGGGGGGGTCGGGGAACATTGAAAAAACACACACGGAACCCGTACCTCCCCCCCCCAACCCGAAATTCGGAAATTCGGCTCAAATTCGAGTCTTCGGGTTGGGTTGGGGTGGTCTGGTAGGCAGTCACCAACCAAGTCGACAACCGGGGACCGTTGCTGCCAGAGCAGTGGGCACCACAGGTGCACACGTCAGGTATACCAGACACCTGCCAACCCATCTGCTGTGTGGCCAAGTCGACTCGGGATAGCCGGCGTGAGCCGCATTTGGAAGAGGGCCCCACGTCAGAGGATCAGAGAGGTCCCTCTCTCCTGCACTCGTTCCCTCTACCTCTCTTTCTCTCTCTCTCTCTCTCTCTCTCCATATCCGGCCTCGTTGCCTCTGCACGTGATTGACGTGAGCCTTGGTGACACCTGAGCGACGGAAGAAAACGAGGTCGTCTGAGCCGACATTCACGCGCAAGCTGCCCGCACAGAGTCTCGCGTAGGCGCCCTCGTTGCCAGTGTAGCCTGCCGCATTGGCGGCCCGCGTGAGCTGCAGCGCAGGGTCGCTGTGTCGTCTCGCGTAAGACCCGCTTCCTTCTCGGCGGCGAGCGAGGAGGGGAAGTGAGAAGGGGAAGACCTTCTCAGAAGGCGTCGGGACTTCTCAGAAGCCCTCGCGCCTTCTGAGAAGTGTCCTGTGTCTTCGGGAAAAGTTTTAAAACTTCTCAGAAGGCTGGGGAATGTCCGAGCCTTCTGAGAAGGCCTTCCCCCTCTCACTTCCCCCCGGGCTGGCCTCCGAGTAAGACCAGCTTCCTTCTTCGTCGCCCCCATATTCGACCCAAAACCAAACGACGCCACCCCACCTACGGCCCTCCAAGTTGCGCTACGGCGGACAATCGGGGGCCGTAGCGCACACCATGCAAGAACCCACGCCAGATTTTCTGGTATACGCGAAGCCTCGTGGGGCCTCAGGTGGGGTCGGGTCGTTTGTTTTCTGGTCCACGAGGCAAAGATGAGGAGGAGGAGGAGGAGGAGGAGGAGGAGGAGGAGGAGGAGGGGAAGGAGGAGGAGGAGGGAGGAGGAGGAGGAGGGAGGAGGAGGGAGGAGGGGGAGGGGAGGGGGGGGGAGGGGGAGGGGGGAGGAGGAGGAGGGCGCGACGGGCAGCGCGCGCGGTGTTGGGGTCGGTGCTCGGGGTGAGCGCGCCGCTCGGCTGGCCCGGAGGGGCTTCCCCGCCCTGGCCCCTCCGAGCGGCGCCGGCCCGGAGGGGCTGCTTTCCCGCGGGCATCCGTTGGGCATTCCCCATCTTAGCTGCATCGATACGCCTTTGCTGATACGCAACACGTACAGTGCTCAAAACGTCCTCGGTTTATCCAGATTCACGTCGACCTGTCTGGATGGACCTGGGTCACTTGGCCTGATCTTTGCAAGTCGATTGGAGAAAAGTCGCCAAGCCCTTAGGGATCCTCCTTTTCCTCCTCCTCCTCCTCCTCCTCCTCCTCCTGCTCCTCCTCCTCCTGCTCTTGCTCCCCCTCTCCCTCTGCCCCTCCGTCCGTTCCCTCACGACTGCCCCCCCCCCCGGTGAGTGTCGCTGTCGATCCCCTGTGGGTGGATCCAGCGTCTCCCCGCTGCGTGAGCTGGGCCGGAGCGCGCGCGGCATCGATCGACCTGTTCTGCGCCGCGCCGCCGCGCGCGTGGCCGCGACGCCGAAACGGTGTTTGAGCCCGCAGAGCGGAGGCCGCAGCGGGCCCCCTATCGGGAAAGCCAGCCCGCCAGTGTGGTACTGGGAGGCGCGCCTCGGGGCCGTCTGGGGGCGTCTTGCTCGTGAGCCCTTCGAAGGGCTGGCATGGGCCCTGATTTGGGCCGTCTGGAGCCTCGTCGGAACCACCTCGGGGCATCTTGGGACTGTCCTGAGGTTTATTGTGGCGCCCTTGGAGTCAGACTGGAGCCCTCTTTGACCATCTTGGTGCCCTCTATTCACCGCATATATTGGAGCGATATTGGGCCGTCTTTGGCGCTCTGAAGACCAAGAGGGCGAATATGCCCAAATCGCACGAAAGCCCTAAGGAGATCAGTAGATGCAGCCGTGCTCCCCTCCCCCCTTGCCCCGCCCTGGCCGACTGCATAACGGCACAGCGCCGCACCACTTGGGCACCTTGAGCCCCACGCCCCAGACCCCATGCCACCGCCCAGCTAACCCTTTCAGTCCCCCTGGATGTCCTGAACATGGCTGGCTTTCCAAGTGATGGGAAGGGGACTCCACGATGCAGCGGGCCACAGAGGAAGATGAGGAGGAAGGAGCAGGAAGGAGGAGGCCAGAGGGTTGGCAGCTATGCGGCGCGGATAGGTTGGCACACCCAAAACCGTTGTGGTGTGGATAGGCCCATAAACCTAAGAAAACATTCGGACAGCACTGAGGCGCGGATTGGCCGGCACACCCAAGAGCATTGCCGCACAGATACATGTTCTTTCTCCACCGCACAATTTACAGCTACTCTCCGTCGCTCCTCCAGAAGGCACCCCCTCCCCTCTCCCAGAGACCCTCCGCGCACATCACCACCGGTCCCTTACTGAAGGCGCGGCGCTTCGCCGCGCCACTTCTCCCCCTGGCAGCTCCCGTTTCTGCTTCTCGCCCCCCCTAAACTGGCGGACCCCGCGCCGCTTTCGCCCAGACCTTTGCACCACAGCTCACGCCCCGCTACCCGAGCGCCCCCCGCCTCTCCCTCGCACAGCACCTCCCGCCCCTGCTGGGCACCCCCTCAGCCCCCACCCCATCCAGCCGCACCGCGCTGGCCCCATCTGCCGTTACCCCTCCCCCCGACCCCGACTCCCCGACCATTCCACCCCTACCCCTGTATCACGGCACGGCGCTGGCCGAGCCCGCTCAATTGGCTGTGCTGGTTGGGCTGGATTGGGCCTGCAAGGCTGGTTTGGGATGGCTCGGCCGGCTGGGCTGGAAAAGCTGATTGGGATGCCCAGGCAGGCTCGACCCGCTCCTCCTCCTCCTCCTCCTCCTCCTCCTCCTCCTCCTCCTCCTCCTCCTCCTCCGTAGCCATTTTGGCTCATGCTGTTCAAGTCGGGCCGTCGCTCATGTCGTGCCGCCGCCGGGCTGCCGCGCGCCGGTGCACGTGACCTTCGGGGTACCCATCTTGTTCTATGTCTACGGGATGCCGACGCGGCGCCGCCGCGGTTCGGCAGGCGGCGGACCGGTTGGTCGCGAGGCTCGTCCGCGAGCTCGCTGACGCCAAAGCCGTCAACTTCAGGTTGCAGCAGGAGCTCACTGGCAGTGCGGTGGGTTGCGCGGCCGATCTCGCCGAGGTGGCGCGCCGCGAGGCCATCGCCAGGCCCGCCCTGCTGGCCAGAGTTCGTGGCACTCGCGAACCTGGCGCCCGCCGCTTGAAGCGGAACGTCGCGTGGCATGCAGACGAGTGTCCCGACGAGTCCGCCCCACTGGCGGAGTGGCGGAGCGCGCAGAAGGGGCCTCGCCTCGGCGGTGCAGTCGGCGACACCGTGGAGCAGGAGGTCAAGGCGATCCCAGCGGTACGGCAACTGCTGCTGGGCGCTGTCGGTGTGCTGCCCCGTCGCCTCCCCCACGGCCTCGTGTGGCGGGCGGCGCCCTTGGAGACTTTCTTGGCCTTCGAGGCGGGGAAGCAGTGCATCGAGTTGGACGCGGGCACGGCGGCCTTCGCCCCTGCCGCGGCTCCCTGTGTCGATGCGCGCGCTGGTGCTGGCGGCCCGCGTGGCGTGGGCTGTCGATGCACGTGCGGGACCGTGGCTTTCTCGAGCGTGCCGGTCGGAGCGCGCCCAGTGCGCGGTTGCCACCGGGAGGCGGCTGCTCCGCCATCGGAGTGCGACAGCGCCGCGGGCTCCGTTTTCTTCTCCTCTGGCGAGGAGTCGGAGGTCGACGAGTGCCCTGGCGACCAGCTCGTCTTCGAGGAGTGCGGGTCGGCCGAGGCCACCAGCGAGGGCTTCGACCTCGAGGTGACCGTTCCGGTGGCGGCCGTGTTGCCGACGGACGACGACCAGATGAGCGTCGATCGGGTCGGGGAGCCCATCGCCGAGCTCGGCGCGGCGTCGGAGGTCGACGTCGAGGACTTCCTCGCAGAGACGCTCGCGGCCTCGGATCCCGTGGCAGGCGTGCACATGGGGGTGGTGGTGTGCGAGCTCGAGCGCCTCGGCTTGGACATCGAGATCGTCGCCGCTTACCTCGCCTCGCCGCGATTCGCCGAGGTCTTCTACGTGGAGGGCGAGAGCCTCTTCCGCGTGGACGGGGCGGACGCGCCTTCGGCGCCGCCCGTGCGGCCGTCGGGCGCGCGCGCGGGCGAGCGAGGGCCGTAGGCCCTGCGGGTCCGCCGCCTGGGATCGGGCTCGCACTCGGGGTGCGAACCCGTATCCCCGCCGGGGGTGGGCGGCCGCTGGCGGCTGACGTGGTGCCCGCTTTCGTCCCCGCGGGGGTGGCTTCTGGCCGCCTGGACTGCCTTCTCGGTAGTCCAGGCTGGGTCGGATGCTTGTCTGGGCTTCCCCGTCCTGGGGCCCCCCCCTCGTCGCCTCGGCGGGTCGGCCTCGCGCGAGCGCGCGGCGGCGAGGGACTCTTCTCTCGAACTTCTGGCGGCCCTGGCCGTCGTCTTCGCATGCGTCGACGGCGGTCAGGGCTTCCTTTGAAGCTGCGCCCGCCGTCCTCCTCCTCCTCCTCCCCTTCCTCCTCCTCCTCCTCCTCCTCCTCCTCCCCTCCCCTCCTCCTCCTCTCCTCCTCCTCCTCCTTCATCCTCATCTCATCCTCATCCTCCTCCTCCTCCTCATCCTCCCACTCCGATTATTATTATTATTATTCTTTACGCTTCGCGTATCCCCACCAGCCCATCTCACAGCAGCAACTCTTGCGAAGCATGCCGACAGTCGTGTTTTTCAGGCGTGTGTCCGCTTGGCCCCGCATATCTCCCCTGTTCCTCCTTCCTCCCGCCTCCTTGCACATCCTCCTTGTGGGGGGAGCGGGAGAAGGACGAGGCGGAGGGGGAGGGAGAGAAAGCGCTCCTGTTCTGGTGAAAGTGCTGGTTATTATACTCCGTGATGGTTCATTGGTACGAAGATTACGTCTAGTTCATAGTCTGTCCTCCAGTACTGCTGAGACCCATACTTACCACTATGGATTTCACGCTGCTGTAAGAGAGTATGTCTGGGTACAGTGAGGCTGGACACTGGATGTTGCCTCAATGGAGTCTGGAGCTTACAGCGTTCGATGCGAAAACATGTGCGTCCTCTTCACAGTCCTCCTCCTCCGCCTCTGCCTCGTTTGATCCGTTCTGGTGTGAGTCGTTCGGGATCTTCGTCCTGGTGTGAGTCGTTCGGGCTTCCCGTGGTGAGAGTTGTTTGGGCCCCGCAACCGGGTGTGGGTCGTTCGGGGCCCTCCTTCTGGTGTGACTCCTTGGGGCTCCTCGTGGTGTGAGTCGTTCGGGGCCCTCGTCGTGCTATGAGTCGTTCGGGTTCCTCGTGGTGTGAGTCGTTGGGGCGCCTCCTCCTGCTGTGAGTCGTTCGGGCGCCTCATTCTGGTGTGAGTCGGTCGGGCTCTTCGTGGTGTGAGTCGTTTGGCCTCCTCGTCCTGGTGTGAGTCGTTTGGGTTCCTCGCGGCGTGAGGCGTGCGGGCACCTCGTCCCCTTTTGGGGCGTCTTGGGGGCCTCTTGGCGGCCCCAGGGGCTTCTAGGAGTGTCTTGGGTGGGTTGGGGGAGCCTCTTCAGGCCTCATGGGAGCCTCGTGGAGGGCGTTTGGAATGTTTGGGGTCCTCTTGGCGGCCCCAGGGACTTCCAGAAGCGTCTTCGGTGCTTCGGGGGAGCCTCTCGGGGCCTCTTGGGGAGCTTTTCGGGGCATCTTGGGAGCCTCTTGAGAGCCTCCTTGGGGCCTCGTGAAACCATCTTGGAGCCTCTTCCCGTCAGAAGAGGAAACGGAGGCCAAAAGCTTCGTGAAATGAATGATGTTGCCTTGAAGGACGAGGGGAGATTTCATGAGCGCTGCCCCCTCAGAAGGCGGAAGTGGGGCCCAAATCGTAGTAAAATCAATGAGTATGGCTCCACAGAAGAGGAGAGGGTTTTTTCTCCCTTCCCCCGTGTCATTGCGATACCTTCACGGTTTTCCTGATGTGAGTCGTTCGGGCCCCCCCTCCTGGTCAGAGTCGTCGGGGCCCCTCCTCGATGTGTGAGTCGTTCGGCGAGGGGCCCGAACGAGTCACACAAGGAGGGGCCCGAACAACTCACACCAGGGTGGGGGGCCCCAACTACTGACACCACGTGCATCCTGGTCGAGGACGTGCACACTCTGAGTTGCGTGATTCCTCAGATCTGTTCGAGGGGACCGATCTTGGAGGCTGTTTCCCCTTCTGCTCCGCTTCCACCTCTCCCCCCGAAGCTGCCGCCTGGTGCCCGCGCCCGACTTAATGGGCGAACCTGCTTTTGAGGTGCAGCTCAGAGCTGCGAGCCTGAGCACGGTAGACACTTGTGCCGCGTGCGCACTGCAGAACTGGACAGGAAAAGATCGCTGGATCGCCGACGCCGTCGTCCATTCAATCGTCGTCGTCGAAGCCGTCGTTGTCATCGTAAGCATGGTCGCGCCGTCGTCGGCGTCGTCGCCGCCGTCATCGTCTGAGAAGTCGCCGTCGCATGTGTCGCTGAAGTCGATTACGTGTAGGACTCGAGGAGGACCGCCTTCTGTCTGGGCTCCCATCGCCGTCTCTCCCTCCTCCTCTTCCTCCTCGTGGGCTCCCTCCACAAGATAGATGTAGGAAGATAAAAGAAGAGACAGGAGAAAGAAGACACAGGGGATATGCGCGAGGGCACGCGGAGACACGCCTGAAGCACACCACGGTCGGCATGCTTCGCTAGAGTAGTAGTGGCGGTAGTAGTAGTGGTAGTTGTATTGTAGTAGTAGTACGAATATTAGTAGTAGGAGTAGGAGTAGTAGTAGTAGTAGTTCTAGTAGTAGTAGTATTAGTTTGTGTGGTAGTAGGGGGAGTCGCAGTATGAGTAGTAGTAATAGTCGTAGTCATAGTAGTAGGAGCAGGTATAGGTGCAGCAGATGGAGTGGTGACATGAGGAGGTCGAGGTGTCGTCGTAGTAGTTCTAGATATAGTAGAAGTAGGAATCGTCGTAGTACCAGTAACAATACCAGTAGTAGCACTCGTACAAGTAGTAGTAGTAGTCGTCGTAGTAGTAGCAGTAGTAGTGCGAGTAGTGGTAGTGGTAGTAGGAGAAGCAGTACGAGGAATAGCACTAGCAGTAGCAGTACCAGTAGCAGTAGCAGTAGCAGCCGTTCGGGATAATCGTGGTGTGAGTCGTTCGGGCCCCTCGTCCTGGTGTGAGTCGTTCTAGCAGTAGCAGTACCAGTAGCAGTAGCAGTGGCAGCCGTTCGGGGTAATCGTGGTGTGAGTCGTTCGGGCCCCTCGTCCTGGTGTGAGTCGTTCGGGCTCCTCGTGGGGCCTCTTGGGGGACTCTTGGAGCCTCTTGGGGCCTCTTGGGAGCCTCTTGGGGGCTTCTGGGGGGCATCTGGGGGGCCTCTGGGGGCCTCTTGGGGCCTCTTGGGGGCCTCTTGGGGGCCTCTTGGGTGCCTCTGGGGACCGCTGGGGCGCTTCTGGGGGGCCTTTAGGACGCCTCTTGGGAGCCTCCTGGGAGCCTCTGGAGGCCATCTTGGGGCCTCTTGCGGCCTCCTCGGAAGCGCCAATGAGAGCTGCCCCCTGAAAAGAACAAAATGAGCCCAAAACCTTCGTAAAAGCAATGGTTCTGCTATGAAGGAAGATGAGCGCGGCCCCTTCAGAGCGCCAAAATGAGGCCAAAACCGTAGTAAAATCAATGATTTTGGCATTAAAGAAGAGCAGAGGGGCCAAAGTGGGCCCCCCCGTCGGAGCCAGAATCCTCGTGAGGGTCGTCGTTTTTTGGCCCTTCCAGGAGTCAAAAAAGACCGCCCTGGCGACGCCCGGCCCGCCCTCTCCAGGTCCAGGGGGAGGGGGGACTGGGAGGGGTAAACCCCTCCCCGAAGGGGAAGAAGGGGGGTTGGGGGGTTGAGGACA